ACCAGTGGAACAACCTGCCTCCAGAAGCTGTGAATGCTCCAACACTGGAAGTTTTAAAGAAGAGACTGGACAGCCATTTGTCTGAAATAGTATAGGGTTTCCTGCCTGAGCAGGGGGTTGGACTAGATGACCTCCAAGGTACCTTTCAACATCAACATCATCATCATCATCATCATCATCATCATTATTATTATTATTATTATTATTATAATGCTATTTCTGAATAGCAGTTCAGAGACTGGCAGGTCATCTGTTTGGATCAGCTTGTGAATAATAATGGCATGAAATTTCCCACCAGCTTACTCAGCTGCTTCTCCTATTTTCCTTTTGGATTGGGAACTTGCCAAAGAGCTGTCTTTGCCAAGTTGTTTCCATAGCACAGACCTTCCGCAAAGCAGACCATGCAAGACAGACAGCCGTCTTACTAAGAATAACCTCCTCCTCATCCCTGGATTTGTAGTGAAATGAGCAAACCATTTCTAGCCACTGGGAACAAAGTGAACTTTTCTTCCATTCAGTACACATGTATTGATCTACTTCATGCTCTCCCAGCATGCCATACGGGGACTTGCAGCATAAGACAGCCAATGTTAGACCTTTTTGATAGAAAGGGTACACTAGCTTTGCTTAGGACTTTCATTTTGTTTTCTTTTTTTGTTTTTTTAACCTTGAAAAATGCAGATAGGGGCAAAATTTGGCATAATCTTGTTCTCTTCCCACACATACATTCCGTGATGTTGCAAACTATGTAAACTAGGAAATTGCATACTTCCCTGGCCATACTTCCCAAGGGCCTTGGGAAGCAAAACACCAGCCCTTGTTCACCCCTGAGGCAGATTGTTATTTTTGTCCCCACTCCTTCCTCCAAAGCAGCGATCCCCACCTTTGCAACTTGGCAGCCCAACTGGGGGGGGGGGGAGAGGGGAACCGGACTGCGTGACTGCACTGGCCTACCGTTCACACAAGTTGAGCTGTGCGCATGTGCACACCAGCCCACCTCTCGTGCAACTCGGTTCCGAATAGGCCATGGCCTGGTAGTGGGCCACGGCCCAGAGGTTGGGGGCCCTTGCTTTAAAGCAGAATTGGCCTATACTCACCGCAGGAGAATAGTTTTAATGCCAGTTCGCTGGTCCTCATGTGTAAAGGGCATTGCTGAATCTTGCTGAGAGAGCAGAGCTCATCATACTTAAACCTTGAGATGCTTAAGTTTGTAGGCAAAGATTTTAAAAACAATTCTTGTCTGGTGGCCTCTGCTTTCTCTTGAGGGTAACCCCTGGTGTCCTTAGCTTAATGGTAGAAATAGAAGAATCAGAATAGACGATAACATAATGATTTGCCGCTAGTTGGCAACCTCAAGAGGCATCCTTAACGTTTCTAACCATTTTTACCTTGCTTTCGTCTTTATCCCATTAAACATTTCTGTATTCTAGTAATGGCTTAATTTTTGGTAGAAACTGATATTGTTGAAACAATAAAAATCCCATAAAGTAAGAAGCATATGGTATTATTTATTTATTTATCAAGTCTATATGGCTACCCATCTTTCAAAAAATTATACTGGGCAGCATATAAATGGCATTAAGTATAGGAGCATGCAGATTTTCTAATTATGCAGACTTCTTCATAATTTGTTTTTAAAGAGTACTAACCACCAGTTGAATTTTCCTTCGGTTGACTCAGTAATAGAGACAAAACAGTGCTGTTGCACATGCCAAGAAAGATTATGTAATCATATCTATTTTAATTAAAAGCATTGGCATGGGCTTGTTGGAAAGGGGAAAGGGCTAGTAAAAGAGTGAATGTTGCATGTAGTTCTTAGTGGTATAGCCAATTTGTCAACAGAAGCAGCAGTGTCTTTGTAAGTCACAATTGCGTTAGAGACAACGGTTGCTTTGCAGAATGTCAGCTTCCCATTTAGTTATTATGGCCCTTTGTGAAATAGTTGGATAGAGCAGATGAAAGATTAAAATGTTCCAAAGACAAAGAAGGCTTGGCAGATGCTGGACTCTCTTCTCTGAGTGATTTCAATAAAGTGGGTCACCTTAGCATTAGTAATACCCCTTTCCTTTGTCCGCCCTGAGCCAGGCACAGCTTGGGATCCTCTCTGCAGCCCTGGGATTTGTTCTTAGGTTCTCTATATATAATAGAGTTCCTCTTTCCCATATCCCTCTCAAAGGCTGTCTACATGCCAGGGAGCAGAGCTGGCAGAATGTAGTGCTCTGGTGTGTTTTCCTACAAAGAGAATTTCCCCTGAACCAGATTTCACTCAGAACAAACATGTGTCAAGCCATAGGACAGTCGACCTACATTGACAGGAAAATGTTATTGATAAATATAAATATTTATGTGGAGTTTCCTGAAGAATAAAAACACGTGAGCCTTAATATGCATGGTTTTGGCAGTCCCTAAAACACCTTTTTAAAGGAGGTCCTAAGCATTTTTTGGAAGAGAGGGCTGGAGTTGTTGGTAATGGCTTGCCTAAGGCACCCAGATAAATATATAATAAATAAGATTTGAACTAGTTTTTCCAGTTTGTACCTGTTGGAATTCGTTGTTGGAATGTATTTTTATGCAACAACTACAGTAGTATTCAGCCAGTAGATGGCAATATTTACAAGTTTGGATCTATGGTATATACTCTATGGTTTTTTGTTCTAAGTAGTTTCCTGTTTCCTGTTACAGTTAAATAGTTAAGCAGTAAAGCACATGGAGACTGTACTCTTTGTTTGCTCTGTGGTGCTTTATATAAACAGAATTTCTAACAGTACTCATCCCTCTTAAGGAGACTGGAGGAACCTACCGTTATCATGCATGGATTTTGAACTGAGTCAAAAACTGAGTAATAGCTCCTTTTAACATATGGTAACAAAGGGAAATCATCAAAATAATTAAAAAACAAAAATTAGAATATTTCGGACATGTGATGCGACACCCAGAAAAATACGGCATACTGCATTTAATCCTCCAGGGAAAGATTGAAGGCAAACGAGGTCCAGGCAGAAGAAGAACATTGTGGCTTCAAAATCTAAGGGATTGGTTTGGACAAAACTCAGCAGCACTTTTTCGTGCGGCTGCTGATAAAAACATGATCGCCAACATGATCACCAACGTCCGATAACGGATATGGCACAAGAAGAAGAACAAAGCTTACCTATTTTATAAACTCAAACAAACGGGGTCAAGAGAATGGAATGCTTCTGTAGTGCTCACTGGCTGTTTCTGTAATGCTCACTGGCTGTTTCTAGCTTTGTCTAATGAAGAACGCTGTTTCTTTTGCCAGTGAATATTGCAACATCAATTGGATTCTAAATTGCAGAGCTTGACTTTGGATTGCATGTGTTGAAAAGATGTATATATTCTTCAATGCAGTGGCTGTGTGCAGCTTCAACCTGAACCTGTAGATATGTCCTAATTCATGGGTATGGACTCTGCGGCCCTCCACATTATGTAGAACCACAGTATAAATATTGAATGGAGGAATGAAGGAAGGAAGGAATTGAATTCATTCATTCATTCCATGGTCCATACCCATGAATTAGGACATACCCACAGGTTCAGGTTGAACCTGCACACAAAGATTAGGTAGGTAGGTAGGTAGGTAGGTGGGTGGGCGGGTGGAGGGATGGATGGATGGATGCTCAGTGGTGCTTGTTTCCAGCTTCTTGGTTGGAAAGCCAGCAGCCCAGGTTCGAGACCCAAGCTCCATGTGACAGTGTGAGCTCCCATCCTTAGCCCAGATCCTTCCAACCTAGCAGTTTGAAAACATGCAAATGCAAGTAGATAAATTGTGCAAATATCAGTTTTGCATTTCTACAGCTGAAGCAATGACACTGGGACAACTGCCTTACCCTATCCAATAATTAATTTCCCTTTCCTACCATCAGCTGTTGGGAAAGATTTATACCTGTTAGCTTTTTTAAAAGAAAATGCTAGCAAAATTCCTCTGCAGTTTAGCTGTCTCCCAGGCAGTATATGAATGTACAATTATCTTTATGTAGCACAGTTATGACCCAATATAGGAGAGAGGATAAATAGCAACACAGTACTTGTCACTGTTTACTGGCCGCCAATCATAACAAGCCTTTTCCTGTGTGTAGATGCCTCTTCTAGGATTCATGTTTTGTTTTGAGCACAATTGATTGTCAGCATGCAAAGATGATTTAAAATCCTTTAAACCAGGGCTTTTCAACCTTTTCACCCATTGTACCACTTTTAGGATATGGCAGTATCCGAGTACCACCAGTCGCCTAGCAAGGTGTCAAAACCTTGATGACCCCCCCCAAAAGGAAAAAAGTGATAAAGTACAGGTAGTCCTCGACTTACAACAGTTCGCTTAGTGACTGTTTGAAGTTACAATGGCACTGAAAAAAGTGCCCCCCAAGCCACAGTTGAGCAAGACACCTGCGTGCCCGCCCGACCGCGCTCTTCCTCCTGTCCAAGGTTTTCATTGTTGTAAGCATTTATGTTGAGGATTGGCAGTGGAGATGGGGTGGGGGGTGTTTGGTTTTTATTCCCCCCATCTGTTGGGTGGTTGCAGCAGTTTTGGTCACTTCACATGACCCTGGGACACTGTGACCGTCATAAATATGAATCAGTTGCCAAGCATCTGAATGTAAATCACAAGACCCTGGAGATGCTGCAACATTCCAGCTGATCGGCACTTCTTCTGGGCTCAGCAGAAGTGCAAGGCTCAGCACCGAGCTCCAGCTGGAGCCTGGTGCTGATCCTGGCGCTTCCACTGAGCCCTGACAGTCCCGAAGAAGTACCGATCCTGATGCTTCCTCTGAGCCCTGACAGCCCTGCAGCTCCAGCCATCTCTCGCTCAGGCTTGTGCGGTGCTGCCACCGTTCAGCTCATTTCCCTCCCCTGCTATCACTTCTCTAGGATGGTCGCATACCACCTGCCATGTGCCAATGTACCACAGGTGGTACCCGTACCACTGGTAGAAAAGCCCTGATCTAGACCACTAAGCTCTGCGTTCTCTTTTTTTTCTTGTCCAGGGGCTGCAGTGAATCTAACACTTGTGACTCCGGAAAAAGCCATCAAGTTAGCTGCCAATGATTTCTTTAGGTATCATCTTGCCAAAGATGGGTAAGTGAAGTGTGAGGCATACTGCACATAAGGATTTCCAACAAAAATGGGGGGATTAAGCTGGGCTATGTCACTGTTACCCCATTGTGTATTTTCCTCCCATTATAATTCACAGAACAGTTGAACATCAATATCTGTTGATTTTGCTTCTATAATTTTGAACTGCTTTATTCTGTTCACAATATAGAAATGGATACATCCCAGCTCCAGAACAGGCAATTTTTTGGAGTGGGACAAACTATTTTTTTCACCTTTTGACATGCTCTATTTAGTGGAGGATAGTTGTCAAAATATGATATCCTCCTTATTCCAGGGCAGGAATGGTTGCTACTTACTGCTTTGGTGTTCTAAAAGTAAGTCAGGGTTAACTTGTATGATTGTTGATGCATCTTATTATAGCTTAATAAAATTCCAACTTCCATATTAAGACAATATCCTTAATACACAGATAATGTGGAAAAATGCACAAGTTTTCTACTTCACCAAAACGCTTTAAGCAATATAGCAAGGCAACAAAGCCAGCTTGGAAACCATGGAAACTTCACATTGTTATAGTTTTATGATAAAATGTGGGATTAGATTGTAGACATCCAAATTATTTTCCTAGAACTGTTTATTTTAGAAATACAGTATTTGCAAAAATAATAATAATACAGAATTGACCAAAATTTATAGTATTTAAATGTAGGCATGGAGCTTATAATCACAAGATAATTGTTATCATCAAAGGGAATTCCTTTCTTGGACAACTAAATCATCATATTTGGTTGATATTTGTATAACATTGCCTGTAATTATTTAATTTCAGCTATTAGGAATATAATTTTTGAGATCTTTTGGAAACTCTAAAAGGTTTCTCACTTGTTTGTGACTTTTTATGCTAAGTAAAGCAATTAAAATGCAAATGCACACTGTTTGTCTGTTTTCTTCTTAGAAATAATAACGGGGGGGGGGGTAGGGCTAGAAGAAATGCCAGTGCATTTCTTCTCCATGCCTACATACCATAAAGTCTTTTAAATATCTCCCCGTCCGGTAGTTGCTATTCCCTCAAAAGGAAATCTGACATCAGCACCAAGATTTGGAATAGAGAAATTAGGGGAAAATAGACCCTCCCCATATGCTACAATCCTAAACAGCACTTCCTCCTTTTTATAAGGTCTCATCTATTGGAACCATGACGCTATCCTTTTTAATTACACTTGTTTTTGACTATCTTGTTGATGATCAAAACAAGGTGCTCAATAATAAAAACATGCAGTTTTTCTTAACTCTGGATCGCACAAAAGTTTTATACCAGTGGTTCTCAACCTTTTTAATGCCGCGACCCCAACCGGTCGTAAGTCGAGGACTAAACCGGACGTACGTCGAGGACTAAACTGGTCATAAGTCGAGGACTAAACCAGTCGTAAGTCGAGGACTACCCAACCGGTTGTAAGTCAAGGACTTTCCCTGCCCAGGAGCGCCGCGCATGCGTGGTTTCGCCCCTTGCGCCGGCTGAGGCGTAGCTGGCAAGCGGCAGAGACGGAGCAGGCCGACCATCAGCTGGCCCAGCCCAAGGGAGGTAAGGTACCCGCCGGAAAAGGGGGGAAAAATGGCGGACAAAAAAAATGGCGGACAAAAAAAATGGCGGACAGCCTTGCTTGGCGACCCTCATGAAATGGTCGATCGACCCCAAATGGGGTCCCGACCCACAGGTTGAGAACCACTGTTTTATACTGTATAGCTGTAAAATGTCATTCTGATAGCTGATGAGAATGATGCATGTGGAAAATGAAAGTGAAAGTCATCCCCAGAGGGTTGCTTATTTCCATCAGTAATTTGGGCTGCTAAAAATAGTGCGTTTAATAGACTGAACTGAACTGGGTTTTTTTTTACGATATGCAGTAGATTGTGTCTCTGTATAATATCATATACCTTCTCCAAAGACATTGTGAATTTAATTAATACTTGTTCCATTGTCTTTACAATTCCTGGGAAATAGGAGACTGAGCACATGATACTTTTTCATCATATCCAATATGCAGCCAATCGGGTGGGGTAGGAGTGGTGTTTAGTTAGATCAGGGGTGTGTCAACCGTGGCAACTTTAAGACCTGTGGACTTCAACTCCCAGAATTCCCCAGCCAGCCATGCTGATTGGAGAATTCTGGGAGTTGAAGTTCACAGATCTTAAAATTGCCAAGGTTGGATGCTCCTGAATTAGGTCTTGGCAAAAAAAGAGGGATTTAGCCAGCCCTTTTCTCCCAAGATATTTTCCCATCAAAATCAGTTTTCTTATCATAAGTACTACTACATTTACAGTGAAAAGAGAAGGTAATTTTTTTTAGGTCCTTTGGGTTAGGAAGGAGCTATAAAGCCTGTCTTATTTGAAAAAGGGGCCAAAGGCAAAGGATTATATAGACATGTGTATGCCCTCCTGGAGATATTTCTACTCTGGTCAATTCTGTAAGCCAGAAAAAGAGGTGCTTTTCAGGTTTGGAAAAACCCTCATTCATGCATTTCCTAGTCTTTAATCCAGATTTATCCTTGTGCTATTGTCAGGAAAAATAATTGCAAAAGATTTCACTTAACTTCCAAATGCCTTTGTCCTGGGAAAGGCTTAATGGAACACCAAATGTGAATCCATAGATGGAATGCTTTATTATTTTTGAATGAAGAGAAATTGTGAAGCAATGTGTTGAAACAGAAGCCTTTGCAGTAGTGAAAGGTGGACCAGAAATGATGCTTTAATTTGGGACGAAGCTGTTTGATGTGGGGCTTCGCCATGTCTTCACTAAGCCTGCTAGATACACTCCTCTGCTCCTTCCTGGAGATATGAAATGTTCAGTTTGTAATCATGCCATCTGAATTTTCAATGTAGAAATGCAGAAAATGAATATTGTTTCCCTGCAGAAGGGGGCTGGCATCTTGAATAAATATTACCAGTTTAATCATGCAAAGATTCAGGGTCCCTTTTCATCTGAAATACTGATTACCATAAAGCAGGCACAGGATTTTTCTTTTTTTTTCAGAAGGTTGCATAAGTGATGTCAGGATTTTTGTTTGTTTAAGCAGACAAACTTAAGCTGGGATTATTAAATTCAGTAATGTATCTGCTTTCATATGTTCCCTATGTGCATTCTCAATTATGATTCTGTAGGCTGACCTTGGGGGTTACAGCCCCGGTATTTATGATAATCTAAAACTTCTGAGGATGGCGTGGGCCTCGGTCAAATTCCTTGTGGAATGCTTGGAAATGCATTTCTTGAAACACATAATTGGCATGTTATGGCTGTTAAATAATTTGTTGATAATAACAGGACCAAGATTAGTGGAACTGGTTTTACTTGCTTTAGACCTCTGGCCTCAAAGACAGTTTTGTAGCATCATAGATATATTTATGTTAGAAGCAACAATAAATCCAGTGGGGTGGGACTGGTTAAGTGAATGCACATTTGCATGTCCCTGGATATAGCAAAAATATTAATACATGTGCTGCTTTTGCACAGGAGTGATTGCAGAGATAACAGAAAAACAGCTGGTACTTGAGCTGGAATTTTAATGATTTGATTCAGCACTGTAGCACACAAGTCTGTTTTGAAAAACACAGAGCTATGTTTTTCCATTTCAAGACCAGATATAAAATTATTTCAAGTACACATCATTTTATTGTTGAGGTCCACATTTTAGCACCCTCAGTGCACCAGTTGGAAAAGCATGGAAGAAAGCTGGAGGTTTTCCTGTATCCCTGGGGCAGGGGTAGGTAACCTTGGCTCTTTTATGACTCGTGGACTTCAGCTCCCAGAATTCCTGAGCCAGCATGGCTGGCTCAGGAATTCTGGGAGTTGAAGTCCACGAGTCATAAAAGATCCAACGTTGCCTACCCCTGCCCTGGGGAATGTTGCCTTCTGTCCCTGGGACTGTGTTTGGAGAGGAGAGGGATGATGATATGAACAGAGCATTGTGAAAGGAGGTGGAGTGGGAGGGCTGCTGGTGGGGACTCCATATTCCACAAAGTGAATGGAATGTTATCCTGTGCTGCCAGAACCAGTGTCAAGAAAGTTACTGGCTAATGACTAACTTGCTTAAGCAGGTTGTGCAAACAGTGCCATAATGATAACAATAAAATTGGAGGGATACCTCTTAGGCTTTTATGCCTAGGTATTCTCTGATGACAATTAATCCCTTTATTTGTCTGCATCGTGTGCACTGTAATGTACCTGCTGCGGTATTTTTAGAACTTGCTGATTGTTGCCTATGAGAACTATTACCCAATTATTTTTAATTATATCCCCACTTACATTTTGTCTCTCTCCAAGTACTGTGATTTACAAACAACCAAGAATGATAAAATAAATAATTAACCACAAGAAGCGTAAAAAATATTCTAAAAGATCTGATTAAAAGTGTAACAAGTCAGGGGCCATCCTAAGTGGGGCAAATTCAGTTGCCATTCAGATGGGGATAAATTAAGTCCCATAAATTGAGACTTAACCAGGTCCTTCTCCAAGTAACTTCATAACAGATGTGACCCACTTCAATATTTTATACCAATGATGGTAGATTTCATGAGGGGAAAGAAGAATAGCCAAGGCCTCTGAAAGGCGCAGATCCTCTCAAACACTGTGAAACTTGCATCTGAGTAAATATTTACAGGACTTTATTGCAAAAAAATATGTACTTGCAAGAGTCTGAAAATAGTATCCTGCTTTGCACTGCATAATTTCTACAGGTGATTTTGGAGCATATGTATAACCATCATTTGGCCCCATTGGTTAATGTGTCTCAGAAATTGCTAGTAAAAAACAATATTTTTTGTAAATGTTTTCAAACACTTAAAAAATGTTCTGACTATAGATAATCTTTGTTTAGCGGCTGCCTCATTTAGTGACTGCAATTACGACAGTGATCAAAAAGTAAATTTGCGACCAAGCCTTGCATTTGTGACTTTGGCAGCTCTCGTAAAGCAAAAGAAAGCTGAAGTAAGACTGAAAGCACAGTTGCGGTTTCACTTAGCAATCACTTCACTTAATGACTAAGTTGCCGGTCCAGTTGTGGCCACTAAATGAGAACTATCTGTATCACTTTTTCCAAAGGAACTTTATCTTAGTTAATATTGACTCCTCCCTGTGGTGCAATAAAATCTTATTCTTTTTATCTTGACCTTCGCATTGCTGTTTAGGATTGGCCAAAGAAATTTGCTGAGGTTTGTTCTTTCCCTTCCTGGTTATTAAGCATGGTTCCATTAACTGTTTCTTTATGCATCCTATCATAATCAGCAGGAAAACTGATACCTCCCCCCCTCCTTTTTATGTTTCCTGTAAGTGATACTGTTTTGCTTAATACACAAAAATGAAAGAGAACTTACAATGCTTGGTTTATCTATGGCATAGCATCCTGGAAGTGTATCTTCATCAATTCACTTTATGATAAAGAGAGGTTCTTTGATTGGCTAGCCACATTGTCACAGTGGTGGGATTCAGCCAGTTCGCACCAGTTCAGTAGAACCAGTAGCTAATTTTTTGTTGCCCAGGCCCAGAATGGACTTCCGGAAGTGGCATCCATAAAGGGAACCGGTTGTTCACATATTTGAATCCCACCACTGCATTGTAACAACTGAAGTACCCATGTTTTCAAAAACCCAACTGGGGCCACTGCTGCCCCACCCCCATATTCAAAGTCCATTTTACTAGGTTGTAAAAGCAGCTTAGGTTAATTCTGTTAAAAGGGTGGTAGTCCAGTGGAATGGGGTGATAGGAAATGGTACACAGGTAGTCCTCGACTTACAACAGTTCATTTAGTGACTGTTCGAAGTTACAATGGCACTGAAAAAGTGGCTTATGACCATTTTTCACACTTACAACCATTGCAGCATCCCCATAGTCACGTGATCAAAATTCAGACACTTGCTTGGCCACTGATTCATACTTAAGACGGTTGCAGTGTCCAGGGGTCATGTGAGCTCCCTTTATGACCTTCTGACAAATGAAGTCAATGGGGATGGTCTGATAAATGAAATCTCAGTTCAATAGAGGAGTGGAGGTAGACAAAGTGTCTCAGAAAGAACCCTCCCTGGTTTTGGAGAGTGTAAAAGTAAGGGAGGGGACAAGTACTTTCATACCGGCAAAATTCCACTATGTAATACTACAGTAAAGGTATTATTAGCACCCAGGGTTGATGCTTTTTGTCTGGACTAGCTCAAAGGACTGACACAGATGCATAGATTGGCATAGGAAATTCTGAAGATCAACCTGATGCCCTCTGCAACCTTTTCCTTACTCATCACTTTAACAGCTTAGAACAGAGGTCCCCAATCTTTCTAGGTTGGCGGCCCAGAGGGAAAGGAGGGGGGAAGCATGGGGCCGCGGGCGTGTATGGGATGCAAATGGGGGTGTGGCGGGGCTAGCTCCTGCGTGACACGGGGCCAGTGCGAGCACTTGTGTAACGCTGGGAGCGGGCCTAGCACCTGCGCAACACTCAGGACAGGGCTAGCGTGAGTGGGGGGGGAGTGCACTCACTGGCCAGCCATTCATGTAGCCCAGTGGCCAAGAGGTCACAGCTTGATAGTGGGCTGCGGCCCACAGGTTGGGGACCCTCGGTATGCTAGCTTTAGTTATGAGAAATATAATTCTTTTCTAACTTTATAATATTCTTGGGAAATTGTTTCAATTCAATTGTTTCAATTAGTACTGAATATTTAATTTGTTTATTTTTAGTGCAACTATAATTATGTTCACGAGTTCTTGTTTTTTTTTGTTTTTCTTTTGCTAAATATGGTATGAGCTCTTTTTTTTAAAGCTTCTACCATGGGTTTTCAGTTTACTTACTTATTCAAGACCTCTAAATTGTAAAAGCTTATTTAAAGGATTGCTGATTAATGATGATTCATTTCTGAGAAACTGTGAGTGGAAACATGGTTTATAAATTATTATACTGTAAAAGATTAGATAATTTTTACTTATCCAGCATTCTTTAGAACAGCATTTTTCAAAGCAGTATCCACCAGACTGCAGCTTCCATAATGATTTCAGCCTTGCTAATTAGAAATGCTGGGAATTGCTTTTCCAACATATATGGAGAGTTTTTCCAAAGTAGCCTTTCACAAATCAGGAGAAGCTCAACATTTTACCAAAAATAGATATCACAAACAGGCTATGACCTAGTTTCTGCCCACCCTGATCCAGAAAGTAAGATTATTTCAGTCATGTTTCAGTGAAAAAATTGAGGAAAGGTTTTGGAGGCAAGTGACAAACTAGCTCCAATTTTTAAAATATTGTAGCTCATCTTAAAAAGGGGTAAAAGCATTTTTAAAGTATTTAGTGCCCACTTCTCAGTTTTTGAGCACACAAAAATAATGTTCAACAGCTATTCAAAAGAAAATCTAAACCTGTGAGGGAGTTAAGAGTTACAGGTAATCCTCAAATTACGACCAGTTGAATCCAAAATTTATGTTGCTAAGTGAGAAATTTTTTAAGTGAGTTTTGCCCCATTTTATGACTTTTCTTGCCACATTTGTTAAGTGAATCGCAGTTGTTAAATTAGTAACATGGTTATTAAGTGAATCTGGCTTCCCCATTGACTTTTCTGGTCAGAAGTTTGCAAAAGATGATCAGATGTCCCCGGGATACTGCAGCTGTCATAAATGTGAGTTAGTTGTCAAACATCCAAATGTAAATCACCTGACTATGGGGATGCTGCAATGGCCATAAGTGTGAAAAATGGCCATAAATCACTTTTTTCAGTGCCATTGTAACTTCGAACGGTCACTAAGGGAACTGTTACAAGTCGAGGACTATCTGTATTTTGTGAGGAAAAAAACAGAAAACTAGTCCTTTAGAGAACTTGATTCCCTGCCAGATTCTATTCAAAGAGGGAATCGATTGCTTTAATGGATTCAAAAGGATGTTGCCAACTCTCTGTTTTCTTCTTGTACCAATGTGACACTTGCGTGCAGTGAAAATTCCTTCCTATATTCTCAAAGGAGAAATCTATATTTAGTGATTTGATCATCTCTGCTGTGGCCTTACAACTATAATCTCCTCAGATTAGAGAACTCCGCACCTAAGCAGCAATCATGCAGACTGAGGAACTGGCTGCATGTGGTTGCCTGAAGCTATTTTTCTGAGCCGGAGAGGAAACTTGAAGCAGTGGCAGTCCCTCTACTGTAGGTAAGGGGATGAATGTTATGCTACTCCAGGCTTCCCACAGAGGGAGGTTTTTGATGGATCACAGATGCTAAGCTTCAGCTATGTGGTGTTGGCTTTGAAGACATAACTGGGCCATGTACCACCTCATTTCCAGCTCTGGCTGGTGGCCAAGATCTTTGGCTGCTCCGAATTCTCTGAGAAGTGACAAATTAACCTTAGTGCCAGAAATAGGCCAGCCTGTGCATTCAGAAAGAGGGTTCTACTCTGGATCTCTTTACCTAAACTATATTTTCTTGATCCTCTTTATTCAGTGTAACTAAAGTGATTTAATGGTCTCCTCTCATTTTTTTCCATCATGTACAGTAACAGATATATTAAAAATGCAAAAGTACATATTAAAAGCATTGTTTCAGATCATTCTTTCTGATTAGGCTGGTCATTGGTCATGGATGCCTAGTCAAAAGCCCCTTTAAAAAACACCATATAAACATAATAAAATGTTTCAGATCATGGAGTTAAATAGTATGTTAAAAAGAAGAAAACAGAAAGTCTTGAGTTCTACCAGTAGGCATGACTGTTGGGTTTTATTTTTTTAATCAGGTAGCATATTCTTTTAATTCTGGCTTTGAAGATAACCTCTTGATGAGTTGAGTGTGGTGGGAATTCAGCCTCTTCTGTTCCCAACACTGTGAACTCCTCTGCTTTTGCCTAGTATTACAGGCTAAGAGTTTTAGACTTGGTCACTTGTCTTATATTATGCTAAGTTATCAAAAGTATGTGACACTTCCTACTTGTTTGCAGCCAGTAGTGGAAAACAAACAGTTCAGTATTTAATTCAGTTAATCCCCATGTATTTAATAATTTTCATTTTCTGCCATGAAAATCATACAATATGGTGGCAAAGGTTATAGGCACTCTGGAGTTACCTATGAGGCTTTTGAGATTACAAACTTCTACAGCAACAGATTGTAGTTTGATGGAAAGGGCTAATAATACCTAAAGCCAATACGCCTCAGGGTTAAAGGGAAGATCCATGATGCAGTTGCTTCTCTCCTTCATCCCCGTTATATTGCCCTCCTTGAAAGGTACTTCTTTCTCAAAGTGTTGCCTGACTAAGAAAACCAAATTCCTTTCTTGCTATCTTCCTTTGCTCTGATGGTGGTGATACTCCTGTGGCTACAGTCTCCTATTACATTTTGATTGCAATGGTGTCAGGTGATGACAGCTGTATGCAGTATTATGATTTGCATTACACTTCTGCAAAGCCAAAATACTGTAAGGGAGAGATTTACTGCCTAGCACTGTGGTGGCTTTATTTCCAAAACAGAATTCTTGTCAGCCTCTTAGAGAGACATCTAGCTTTACAGATTAACATAATTAGTTCCCCCAGAATTCTTTCATTTCCTCCAATGTTTGTGGTTTATTAGTTTATGTCTCCAGTATTTTGCCAAAGAGTGTGCTTGGATAAATCTGTCTGTAGTTTTTGTTTTAAAATAACAACATAGAAATTGTCTTTGAAAAAAGCAAGAACAGTATATATTTGCATTCTTCTGAGTGCTGTCTTTGTTCATTAAAAAAAAAAAAAAGGTCTTTCAAAATTGTGCTGCAGTGCCGTGTCATTGAGCTAGTCATCTTCAGATTTTATATGCCATTGCATTCATGATCAAGAAGACCCAAACTGGACAGGTTTGATGACTCTCATTCCCTACAGTTTGTTTGTCATTTGATTCCTTAGCAACAAAAACTGGCCATTTGACTGAAAGAACAAAACTGGCTGGTTTGTTGTTGCTGCTGCTTGAAATCAAGCAGGTGGTTGGATTGCCTAGCTGATTTTCTTTTGTGCTTTTTCTTTCTTCCCTGTATTTTTGCCAGGAGCAAGTTGACGCTGCCAAAAGAGATGCTGGCTGGTTGTGGGGCGGGGACCTGCCAGGTGATTGTCACCACTCCCATGGAGATGCTCAAAATCCAGCTGCAAGATGCAGGACGAATTGGTACCTTATCTCTCTCTCTCTCTCTCCTTTCCTTATAGTGCTCATGTAATAACAGAAAATGCATCCAATGGTTCCTAATAATGGGAGAAAGCTAAGAGTAAGCTGCTTCATGGGTAGAGGGACTTGAGGCAAGCTATCCTAACTTAAGATTTTACAAAGAGAAAGATGCAGCTTCTTAGCAAACCATCCATCTTAGGCATAGATTTAGACTAAAATTTCCACCATGTCCTGAAAGTGGTCAGGACTATGGAGATAACAGGACAACCTTATAAAACAATGACAAGATGCCAGATTGGGAATATTGAGTTATTGTTACTCTTTTTTTCACCCATAGTTATAATCACAATGTTGTTAAAATATCCATGATATAATTACAAATCTATATAATTATCCTCCCAAAGATTAAAATCATTAAAATAAAGATACAAACAGCTTACAAATAGCAATAAATCTAAGAAATGGATGATTATATTAAGAATCAAAAGGTCTCCTAAATAACTCAATTTTTAATAGCCGAATTCAATAATAAAGTTTAGGAATAAATTTGGAGTCTGACAAATTAGAGCTGTGATAACAATAGTCCCTTCCCTTTTTTTATGGAGAAGTCTTTTCTCTTTTTGTCCAGATATACCTCATTTATAGGACCCCTTTTTAATGAAACTGGATCTTTAAGTATTTAAATAGTGGAGAAAGGAAAAAGAATAGCTTTCTTGTGGTGGTAAATTATTAAACTAGAGAACTCATGCAAGGAAGAGAATTTGTCACTCTTGATGCTTTTATTCAACTTTCTCTCTTTCCCCCACTTGTACAGTTGCCTTCCTGAGCCCTACAGGTGTATTAGTTTTGCCTTAGACAAATTTTATGTGCCACTGTTCTTCACACAGACACAACAAACACACCCACAACTTTTCTTTTTTGGTGGACTGATCTACTTCAAAACAAAACCCGGTACTCAATCTATGTGTAGAGCAGGAAAAGGATGAATGTGTGTGCTCTGAAATGGTGTGACATACTTCACTTAACTACTATATTAAATGTTAATTTTAATGATTCAGGAACGGGACATTCACCTCATCTCCAAATGGATACCTTCCAAGTGTTGGTTGTAGGTCCCCAAATCAGCAGTCCATAGTGCTTCTGGCAGCCACTTCCACCTCCTTCTGAAGTGATGCTAGTGTGGGACATAGAGCTGAATGAAGAATGGCTGCTCTTGCTGGAGCTGAGCTAGCTTCACTGTTCATTTCCTAAAGCCACAGTCTAGTATAGACATTATGTCAAGCTAGAGTGCTATGGATGAGCAGTTTTTATACTTTTATTTGCCTCTTTTTTCCTATCTCTGCATTTTTCAGTTCAAATAAGCTAATGCAGGTTCTTTTTGCAGAAAATTGTCACTGTAGCACAAAAGCTGACATAAGTATCTTAGTTGCTTAGAAGCTATTTTAACTCTATGCGCTAGCTTTGGTAGGACTTCATGTAGCCCTCTCTATGGCAAAAATCTGGAAGATTACAAACGGAATAGTTAATGGGAAAAAACAGAGGGTGTAGATCTTAAATGTAAATTAAAATGGCTGCCCTTGATATATTTCCTCAGCCGAAATTCAAAGGGGAAAAAGTACATGATTAAGATTGAGATTAAGGGTAATTTTCTGGTCTGGCAAGATCATAAGGCTTCTCAATACAAAGGCTTCTAAAAAGGATCTGTTTTTCCTGAAGCAGTTAACAAACAAATTTCAGAAGTGATTAGAAAAGGAATTATATGAACCCAGTGCCCTTTTCAAGGCATGGATTATAGTTTGTGCAAGAGATCTATTTCCTCACCTCCCGCAGTTCTAAACCTGCAAGAGGTTGTGAGGAGCAACTGTCTGGAGCACTTATGGACAATCTCAAGTCCTCTCCTTGTCCTGAGAGGAATTATCAAAGAGATAGCCAGCTCTTCATTCTGCTGTGGTTGTTGGCTCCACTTTTTGTGGTATCGTCTTCAGTTTGCTGTTGATTTCCCAGAAGTCTTATTTATTATTATTAAATATGATTTTAATACACTTCAAAAACATTAACATTTATTTTATAAAAAAATATTTTAGTTGCTAGTTTATAATATTGTGTATAATCTAAACAGCATCTTAACTATAACAATTATAACTATATTATTAATGAATGCAGGGCTATTGTACGTTATTATGTAAAATACATACAAAGAGCTAAATATTAATTATAAACTGTACAAAGATCTATATAGTGACAAAAAGGGGGGGGGAAGCAATTCTAAACTACGTAAGGAAAGGAAAAAAAGGTAACTGCCTGAAAAGGAAAAGAAAAAGTGTAAACAAGAAATGTGAAGCAACACTAAAAACAAAAACAAAAAACTACACCTACATTGTATCTAATTCTAACTATAGGGGGGTAGTTGAATAACAAAGAAAACAATGTATCAGGCTACTGAAATTATATAACTTTCTTTAATTTTAAAAGCATAATCCAATTTTTAAATAATGAATTAAATCTAGACCTTATACAGTTAGTCCTTGACTTATGACTATTTGTTTAACAATGATTCAAAGTTATGACATCCTTGGAAAAAGTGACTTATGAGATGTTGCAGTTATGACTGTCACACCACCCCCGTGATCATTTGATTGTAATTCACGTATTTGGCAACTGGCTCATATTCATGATTTCGGGGGGGGGGGGGGGTTGCCTATTTCCAGCAAAAAAATACCCACTGGGAAAGCTGGATTTGTTTATCAGTCCAAGCTTGATATACAGTAGAATTTTTTTTTCATAGATAGAAGGATTCTAATTTTTTCAGTACATTAGCATATACATATATTGGTCTTCCAGAAACCTGGTTCATCATAATGGTAATACGGGCATGTCAAACTCGCGATGTCACGTGACGTCGCGCAACGTATCGGGACGGTTTTGCCATTGCCGGCAATGGGGCGGGCGCGGCTTCCGGATGACGTGTGCGGCCCATGGGCCGGTAGTTTGACACCCCTGTGGTAATAGCTAACCAATAAAAAAAATTACAAATGAGCACACCCCTAGCATATGTACCAAAGTAGTCTTTGAATAAGAACAAGCAAAATTCTTGTGTCTTGTGCTCTATTTATTCCGAGGTCAGAGAAGAATACCTTTTTAACAGCTTAACCATCTGTCGGGGTTTCCACTTGTGCTGCATCCTCAGAGTAAAATGGAAGAATCTTAAGTGGTTTTGTTGTTTTTGTTCCTCTGCAGCTGCTCAGAAGAAGTCCATGATAGGACAAGCTCAGCTTAGCCCATCCGCTGGCACTGGAGCTGCAGAGTCGGTGGTAGAGACACGAATGACAGCGATCCAGATCACAAGAGATTTGCTTCGGAGCAAAGGCATTGCAGGACTGTATAAAGGACTTGGAGCCACGTTGGTTAGGTTGGCATTTTCTCCAGACTCAACACAACCATTTCAGTTGCATGTGTGTGTTGAAATAAAAGGTCCTAATGTATGGGAATTCTTGCCTTTGAGCACAGCCACTTGGCTCCATCCCGGGTTCAAAAGAAATCATGTGTGTCTCTCAGAAGTGTTGTATTTATTATTTCTGAGGTATTACTAAAATTATGTTAAGGATCGCTACTGCTTGCTGCTGATTTGGTTAGTTACAAGTAAAATAAATAAATAAAAATCCCCAGAAACAAATCTTCTCAGAAGATGTCTTTGCATGTAACTTGGAAGCAAGAAAATATTATAGGAGAGAAGAAAGGGCTTGGCCGGAAAGGGGTGGATCTGAATGAGCACCATTACCTTCACTTGAGTGTTCATTCAGTCAGGAAGGCCAAACACTTGCCAGGGATGCTCTGTGGAGTAGCTTTTTGGAGCTAAATGCAAGAATAAAGTGAGAAACAGAATTACCTTCTCAATGCACACATTAGATAGTTATAATGAACAAGTGTGTGGCCAACTAATACTATTACAGGACAGACAGAAACAGGTTTTCAGAAATCCCACTCATTTGTGTGCCTCTCCTTTTGTAGGGATGTCCCGTTTTCCGTTGTTTATTTTCCACTGTTTGCCAACCTGAACAAACTGGGGCAGAAGAGCCCTGAAGTCAAGGCTCCATTCTATGTCTCCTTCCTGTCTGGATGCGCGGCAGGCAGCACAGCAGCTGTAGCTGTCAATCCTTGTGATGGTAAGTACTTTTACAGCATTCATTGGGGTGCAGGGGCAGGAAGATCTATCAGCATTGCTGGCTATGGATGCTGAGGAAAACAACCAAAAGAAAAGAAAAACAGTAAAACAGACATTTAAAAAGCTATAATTAAAATAAACCCTATGTGTTTGGAACATTTTAAATTAAAATTAGCTCCCACACATCAAAGACACTTACCCACTCTTTTTTTTTAGGAAACTGCTAAGAATATATCCCTATAAATATTTTTCAGCCTTTACTCCAAGTAGACCTAACCCTAGTTTCATTTTCTTCAGCAGTGGGATTTTCCAATGTATTTTATTGTGGTTCACAAACAACTCCGAACAAAAAGCTGTCAATGTCTCTTTCCATTGAAAACCTCTAATGTTGGGGTCTAAGAGCACTTCCCCCTTCTTTATTTTTACTTTACAGAGAATTCAGGAGGGTCCCTTCTGAAATGGTCCCCATTCCTCTTTTCCTTCTGTGGGTTGAGATACGTTTACATGAGGATGTCTAGGTTCAGCTCTTCCTTCTGTCTCCCAAAGTCTATAACACAGTATATTATCCAAATTCCTCATTATCAGATAATGTATGATTCCCAAGGAAATTCCTTGGATAATCAAAAAAATATGACTTAAGGGCTCTTCTCTCTCTTTAAGAAAAGCTTGCTGAGGGCTGTTCATACATAGTTCAAAGAGGAATATTCTAGACCAAGATTAAATATTAATATGTTTTGGGAGGGAGAATTGATAAAATCTTGTCCAGTAATTGAATAGAAGTATCTGTAACAATTGAAAAACTTGCAAAAAATAACTTGACACAAATTAAGGCATTATAACAAGCTCTACTACTATATCTTTCTGCAGTAATCAAGACAAGACTTCAGTCCTTGCAGAGAGGAGTCAATGAGGACACATATTCAGGGATAATAGACTGTACCAGGTAAATTATCTCTGTCTGAAGGATGTTGTTAATGAGTAGTTAATAGAAGATTAGCAATGGAAGGATAGTATCTTTAGAGTGGTTGGCATAAAACTTGCTTCAGCTTCAGCAAGCAATCATAGAGTGATCCAACTATGGCAAAAAAAAACCCTTATGGTGATGTCCTCCATGTTACAACTGGCCCAAGATAAGACCAGATTTAGTGTGTTATCCTTGTTGTCTGTTGAGTCCTCAATGACTTGGGTCAGGTCCATGGTTACCAAGGTGATCCTTAACCATCCCATACTCCGTGTCACTCACAAGCAAGTTAAGCCTCAAGAACTAGCAGCCACAGAGACTGAATGGCTAATTCAGCAATAGAATTCAGACAGAATTCTTGCTACAAGCAGGGAGTCCAGTACAACAGCAAGAAGCCCAACAGCTCTCTAAAGCCCATCTTGAAGGGTTTTATATTTGATTATTTCCAGAGCAGAGCTTCTGAAAGCTTTCAAGACCTCCTGGATTGCAATTGTTATCCCCACCCCACCCCATTTCATGGCTAGTGTCAGACCTGAAACCTAGGTGTACTCAGAGGTACTTCCTCCTCTGGGCCCCCCTCCCAGGATTTGGTGTGTAAACCTGACATGTAAAGTGGTTGATTTGATACTGGCTTTGCATATTTGCCAACTCCAGACAGTGTGGTTTGTAAGCTATGATTTATGGGTTAATGCAATGTATTCAACAAACCATTATTAAAACCATCCATGGTTTAACATGATATTTGAAGCCAGCTGTGATTTCATCTCTTATCTTTGTGTCTTTTTCTAGGAAAATCTGGCGTAATGAGGGTCCCTTGGCCTTTTTTAAAGGGGCATATTGCAGAGCCTTGGTCATTGCCCCACTCTTTGGTATTGCACAAGTTGTCTATTTCATCGGCATTGCTGAATTCATCCTTGACATGTTTCCACGGCATCGGGATTAACCGCCCATACTTCTTCTCATCCAATTGGAATTCATCATAGTATTTTTATCATTGTGATGTCAGAGCAACGGCACGAAGGGTTCCAAGCAGTAATAGTGGGAATGAATGTTGTCTCCAAAGTTATTTTTCCTCATGTCAACATAGCCCTGAGGAGGGTTACCTAAATAGTCATATCTGTTTTTTAATTATCATTTTTAAAGACACTGCTTAACACAGACTGTCTGACTGGCCTGCTGTTCCTCTTGTCTAGTGGAAGATGAGCCCCCCCTCCCCTTTTCTGGAACTGCTAACAACTCAAGAAGGAGCAAAAGAACAGGACATGTTTCCATGCCTCCATTCTTGGGGTTAGGTCTCTGGGGAAAAGAATCGGTTGGTACTCAATAAAAGGGAGGTCACTTTGACCCAGGCAATTACTGAGATCAAAGTATTTGTTTTTAGATGGGTCTCCTAAACAACCCTTCTCCAAATTAGCTGGATGAACTTTTGAATATTAAGAGAGGGCAAAGGGAAAGCTGCATCCTAATGTTTTGATTTTATGGAAGGATCACCTTTATAATAGGTCCGTGTGGGAAAATGTATTCAGGACAACTGTGCATTTGCCCTCTGAAGCCTCATCTATTGGAAATAAAGTGATGTCCAAGGTCATGAATTATCTGTGAGCCATGACAGTTGGGAGAAACCAAATTATTTGGGGTTAATTTTTTTAAAAATATATATATATATGCTGGATAAAACTCTAGTCTGGTAACATAAATACTCCTCTCTTTCAGCCTGAGATGCTGCTGTCCATGCTACTTTTCACCCCATCCTGGGTTTCACACGTCTGTGTATTATACCTGTGCATAGAATGTGTTTATTGCTCCCTTATTTTTGTTTGGGATCATAGTAACGCCAAAGGCAACTGAACTCTCTTGTGGCTGGTCAGTGCTACAAAAGAGCTTGTGAAACAGAGCATGGCGGAGGAAAACCTTGTATGTTTCTTTAGACACACCAAAGTCAAAAAAGGTTAACCTATTTTATACCAGCAGGTTATCATTTTTCCCCTGAACAACAAATAGCATTTTTAGATGCCAGTTTTTATTGTAAAGGGGAAGTTTGCATGTTTATTATTTTCATAAAGTCATCCATGCATATATGTTCTCATTTCAACTTGGTTTTCGTTGTTTTTCCCTTACATTTGCTGTTTCAGTGGAAAAAGCCATTCCGTTATTGGCTGTTTCTTTCTTTTTTGTTTTTGGCTTTGGTTAGTTCAGTCAGCTGCTTTTCTTTGAATATTCTTTTTGAATATTGGACACTGGGAGACAATTTTTTTAAAAAATATTTTTCTTTAAAAATTACAACATTTTTAGTCTTAGGGGATAGAAGATCTAATTTTTGGCATGTTTTTGCTTGCATTTTGGATTTCTTGTCTCTGTAGATTGTTTTAGTTGCTAGTATCTTCATGTCATTCTATAGAAAGAAATTTTATACATAGTTGTCTTCTCTATTCAGAAATGTTCTTGGATTCCAAATTTGAATGTTAACTATGTTCACATTCCTTATAGTATCTTTTGAATAATAAGGATTTTTTTTAATGTGGCATTAATTTTTCTACTTGCTCTTTCAAATTCAATGTAAAACCATGTCTATTCTGGAAAGTTATAGGGTTTCAGGTGGTAAGATTAGTTTAGAATAGAACCTATATTTAATAGTTTGTTTCACGACACACAGATTTTTCTTCACTTTGTCCTTTTATAAGCATTTAATCATGGTTTAAAACTTCTTTTGCAATATTTATTTCACCCAGCTAATCAGACCTCACTTCAAAAAAAGAATGCCTTAAGGTTTCATTGTTAAACTATGAAATATAATGGCACATAATATTTGAATTCATTGCAACAATATATTTTGTTATTTTTGAAACCGAAATTAAGCAACATTTTGATTTTTCAGGAAGCACAAAATTAGGATTAGTTGATGCACTTTAATAATTGAGATTAGATAAATCCTTGTTTTAATCAACGATTTGGTTACATTAAAACTTTAAAAATACGATTGTCATTTTTTTTAAAAAAAGAAAGAAAAAGAAACAAATGTTTAATGTCCTTTACAATAGTATCTGCAAGATTAATTAATTATTTTAATTCCAGGTAAACCTTTGCTTGGGTGAAAGCATGGATAAAGAAAATTATCTATACCTCAGCTAGGCCCAGATTAATAAAATTGCCACTAGATTGCAGCTGCATGTTTTATCATTGCTGAGTTGTGGGTCAGCAATACTGCTGGAAAGGGAGAAAAAGCACTATTTTGGGGGTAGTGCATTTCCATGCCCCAGATGTAGTAAAATAAGGTATCACTGTTTCACAAGCCTTCATATGATCTAGCAATGTAATGTTTAATGCTAATATTCTTAAAGCATGCTTATGCTGCAGAGACAATCTAATTGGAGTGTAATTAATGTTTGCCTGAATGCTTGTCAGAGGGCCTTGTGGCTCTGTGGGGCCATAATTAGCTGGGTTCTTTTCTTGTAGGGAAATTGTGAATCACTGCAGTATTTACAGTCTCTCTCTTGGAGCTTCTTAGGTTTCCTGATTCCCAAAGGTTTACTCGCAAGTGCTCACTTTAAAAAAAAAAAAAACCCTCACAATGTGACTTCAAGTATATTTTAAGTTGTAGAAGTTTTCCGTCTTGTTTTAACAGACTGGAGTTTTTCTATTTAAGGTCCAAGAGGTTTGACAGGCTTCTTGAGGCCTCTGGTGACTTTTGCACATTTCGTGTAACACAGTTGTATTTAGGATAATCTTGATAAAGCAAAAAGATTGAACTGACAATGAATTGCTTGGATTATTTTTAAATATGTGATTCTATGTGCTATTTAGTTTGCTATGACCAACACCGGCTAAAGTTTGCAATGAAAGTAAGATGATGTCCATAGGTGAACTTATTTTTATACAGTGAGCTTCCCGTTGCTTCTCTTTATCAATCTATATTTCAGTCTTTGCATGAAAGCACAGGAGCTTGTTGGCAAGTAAAAGTTCTCTTAATTGCATGTTTGGAAGAAGATACGCTGGAGGCGAGCATCTAAAAATAGCCACTTGGTACAATAGGGCTGGGGACTGCCTTAAAAGAAAACTGTGTAGGCCCTGCCCCTAGCAATGTCCACTTAGAGTTTGGATGGTGAGGAAGGGAAGTTGAGAATTGATGTTTATTAAACTGAGGTGGAATGGAAGTTAATGGTGTTGAGTTTTTAATAGAATATGTGGATGTGATTTTGAACTTTTCTTGCTTTTATTTTGGACATAGTATGGAAGACAACGCATTACAACATAAAATGCATATATACATTCTGGTCTGCATAAACTTGTTATCTGATATATGATACCACGTTTTATCTTGTTCCCCACCAATGTAACATCAATATAAAGCTCAGTCCTAGGTCTAATCATTCGCTGGTTGGTTGGTGTCATTTTTTAAATTGTCTCTGACCACATTTTTGTCTGTACTCACAGGGTACAAGCGTGTTAACAGGTAACATGTCTTAGCTGCTGCATGCTAACTGAGAAGCAAGAAATTTTGAGGACTACGTTTTACTTACTAAATACGGATTAAGTATTCTAGTTTCTCAGGTCTTGTGCACAAGAGCTCAGAAAGGACTCTGGTTGACTAAATAATAGTACCATGATTAAATATGATATTAGGAAATATAGGCTACTTGCTGATCCCTTCTCAAGTTCTAAAAATATAATATTGTTTACTTAAAATGGGTATTCTGGATTAAACATGATAATTTAAAAAGCAGACAGAGGGGGTTCAAATTTGAAGGGTGCAATAATTTTCCTCCAGGAAAAATGTCCCCCTTTTGTTACAGTCCTCTCACTTCAGATCTCTTCTCTGAATGCAAATCTGACATTAACTGCCATTATTACTATCTTAACTTAAGCCTGGTTCTATGGGGGAATATAGTGGGTGACATTAAGGGCATCACAGGGTGACTTTTGTGTCCTTTTGAATAAAACCTCATTTTGTGAATGTTACCTCCCAGAAGCTCATTTAAGGGAATTCATTTTGTTAGTGCTTCAAAATAGTTTTGGTAGAGTCTCCTGTAACATACATTCATTACTCTGTGAGCTTTTACTGAAATCTTTTGCATTAGGAAAGTTTAATGCTGAAGATAACAAAAGAGTAAAATCTGATTCTACTCTTTTCATCTACCAATGATTACTTTTTGCCACAATATATTATTAAGCAACATTTAAATACAAATAAAACCATCTTATAAATAAAACAAATTAATAAATACAAACAAAACCCACTTCTGTCAAGTTTTCTTCTCATATGCACTTTTCTCCCTGAAATTTTAAAAGCAACACTACATTCTGTGAAAATTACAGTGATTTGTAATTAATGATTACAATTTAACTGTAGAATTTGGGAAAAATAAATCATTGGCAGATTCATCTAATTAGGCATGATTCTGATTCACAGAAATCAGTGAACGTTTATTGAGTAACAGCGACAGAAGAAACTCTCTTACACATGGATAGTTTCTGTACCTTAAATAATTTTTGGATGCTTGGTTATCTAAAGAGCTATTTTTCATAGAATCTGTGATTCCTTTCTGAAAAGTTATTTTCAGCAGACTCATCTGTAGAGCATATTTCTAACCATTAACCAAATTTAGCTTCTTTTGACATAAATTGTCCCAATCCAGGCCAAGACATTTATAATACAATCCTGTAAATCTCTAACTGGAATTATTTCTAAATTTAAAGCTAAAAGTCTGTCATGCTTCAAATATATGCTTATTAAAAGATGCATTTGCTAATTGACTTTTCTTAAAACTCAGGCCTTGCTTTAACATATTTTTTTTTAATTAGGAAACAATTCTAGCTTTTATTCCTCTCACAAATAGTAGCCCATATATGTAACATACTATCAAAAGTCTTATTAGTGCAGGTCAGATTTTAGAGTTCATGTTTTAACATAATTTTTAAAGCGAGTAGATATACCGTATTATAGCCAAGTAGGACCTTTTCATGAGCAGCTTTGTCTTCCCACCATGTTAGATGGGAAAATGTTCTAATACTCTTACAGTAGTGACCAAAATTGTGGAAACCTTTTGGGAAAAGTGTATTTTTGAGGTTTGATGGCTAATAACACCACTTTTTTGAGGGGAGTAGTACCATAAAATTACATATCAATGGAAAGATAATTTAATCAAGAATGTAATGCAACAAAGTTTGTTCAATTATTTATACTGTATTCTATGAAAAGTTATAGCCAAATAACCAGAAAAAGGAAGCACAACTTGCTTAGGTTGATATCAGGTAGCTTTCCTTCATCTGATTGTAGCCAATGAGCATGAGTGTTTAGAGAGCCAAGCAGGTGTCATCTTGTTTTGGCAATGAGCCAATCAGATCACAGTAGGATTCAGTTATTGATGTCATG